TCAAAATCATTTCATACCAAGAATGGAACCAACACCCTTTTACAGATAAGAGCTTTTCGAGGCCCTTTAACCTCCCCTTCATATAATTATTTCGATTACCAAGAAGCCTGGAATAAGATACTATTTGATACCAACCCTAGGTATTCATGGTATATATGTTTTAAAAAAGAAGTACACAATACCTTACCAAATTGGTTTGTTGATTGGTTTCATCAACTATGCCCGATCCAATCTATAATCCCAGAAAAAATCATGAAAATGTACCAAAAATATAAAATTCTTACTCCTCAATACCCTTCACACCTTCGAATTATAAATTTTGTTCAACCATGGGAATAAGCTAGTTTTTGGCCCACATTCCTGAAATTCATCAACACAAAGAAGAAACTTATCCTAAAACTCTCTGCTTAAAAACCAAAGTTTTTTGGTGGAAAAAATTTGAAACCCAATATGTAGAAGACAAATTTGAAAATTGGAAGAAAATGGGTCTTATCACACAAAAGAGCTCAATCCAAAGAGAAATATCATCTATAAAAGAAAAAGGAAAAGTCATTATAGACTTATCGAACCTCCCTTCCTCAAAAGCCGAAAAAGCCCAATTAAAACAAAAAATTATTGAAGCATTATCCTCACTAGGCTCTGATGAAGAAGAAGAAACTGAAGTCATTATCAACATACAAGATGCTCATGATCCATATGAAGATGAAGAAAACATTGATTTTGACCAATTTTAGCAATTAATTCCAGCAGAATTAACGAAGATGATTAATAATATCATGAAAAGAAGATCAACCAAAGAAAAGTTACAAAGAAAAGTTCATCAAATTATGAGAAAATTAGAAGACGAAGACCCTCAAGAATTCCCCTCCTAAGAGATAGCATCTTAGTAAGAAGTTGGGCTTAGTTGGCCCATCGCCCAATAGATGCTATGGTCCCACACCTCATAATGGAATCAGCTGGTTCTTCACGCAAAGATGAATGGGCTCACACAGTTGAAAAATAAAGCACTTGTAATTATTCTATTTTGTTTTTAGCGTCGGTCGTCGAAAGTAAAGGCATGTCACTTTTAATTATGATGTTGGTCGGCCACTTTTGATTATAGTGTGTCAGTTGTAATCTTGAATAGGAGAACATTTAGGCCTATAAAAAAGTCAGTTGTTGAAGTATCATTTACCGCTCTCTTCGAGTCTTAAACTCTATCTTCCTCAATCAACTCCCTCATAGCCTAAGTTCCCAGTCTTCCTTATCCCTGAATAGTCTTGAAAAATTGTAAGCTCTCTTAAGAATTTTGTAATAACAATTCTGTACTTCTTCATTTCTCTATTCTCTTCCGCTTTTATATGCACTAATGCCAGAAATGATATCAGAGCCAAAGATAAAAAATTTTGCGCCGATAATATATTTGTTTGTTTGAATAAGTATGCATTGTGGTTGTGGTTTAGGCCGATCCACAGTGCATACTTATTCAAAAAACAGATATATTATCGGTGCAAAATTTTTTATCTTTGGCTCTGATACCATTTATGGCACCAGTGCATATAAAAGCGGAAGAGAATAGAGAAATGAAGAAGTACATAATTGTTATTACAAAATTCTTAATAGAGCTTACAATTTTACAAGACTATTCAGGGATAAGGAAGGCTGGGAACTTAGGCTATGAGGGAGTTGGCTGAGGAAGATAGAGTTTAAGGCTCGAAGAGAGCCGTAAATGATACTTCAACAACTGACTCTTTTATAGGCCTATTCAAGATTATAACTGGAACACTATAGTCAAAAGTGGCCGACCAACATCATAATTACAAGTGACACGCCTTTACTTTCGACGGTCGACGCTAAAAACAAAATAGAATAATTACAAGTGCTTTATTTTTCAACTGTGTGGGGCTCATTCATCTTTGCGTGAAGAACCAGCTGATTCCATTCTGAGATGTGAGACCATAGCATCTGTTGGGCGATGGGCCAACTAAGTCCAACTTCTTACTAAGATGCTATCTCTTAGGAGGGGAATTCTTGAGGGTCTTCGTCTTCTAATTTTCTCATAATTTGATGAACTTTTCTTTGTAACTCTTCTTTGGTTGATCTTCTTTTCATGATATTATTAATCATCTTCGTTAATTCTGCTGGAATTGATAACTAAAATTGGTCAAAATCAATGTTTTCTTCATCTTCATATGGATCCTGAGCATCTTGTATGTTGATAATGACTTTAGTTTCTTCTTCATCAGAGCCCAGGATAGGCATGGCAACGGGGCGGGGGCGGGTTTTGCTTTCCCGATCCCCGCCCCCGACTTTTTTAATCATCCCCGCCCCCGATCCCCGCCGGGGTTAGAAATTAAGTCTTCATCCCCGTCCCACTGGGTTTCGGTTCCCGTCCCTGATCTATATTATTTTTAAAAAGATAATTACATTTATAATAAATTATTTTTACTATCTATTTTTTATATATAAATAAATATTTATAATTTTATAATTTATAATAATTATTAATTAAATATACATTTTAATTTATTATATTTTATATTAAAATATGTATGTAAAAGAAATATTTAATCATTTTTTATTTATAACATTATTATTATTATTATAATATTGTATTCAAATATTTGAATACTTATAACATTATCATTATTATTATAATATTGTATTCAAACATTTGATTATATATATAAGTTAATTAATTTTTAAGTTGTAATTTAAAAATATGAAATATATAGTTTATAATAAAATATTTAATAAGTTAATTATTATTTAATTAATTCAAAGTAATAAAAGTTTAAATTATCAATTCCTTTAATCCTTTAAAATATAATTATTTTATTAAGATAAAATTTGATATATGATAAATAAGAATAATAAGATAAACAAATGACATAATAAAACCTAATAAATATAAATTATAAATAAAATAATATTAGTTACTATTAAGATTTATGTAAAATATTTAGAAAAAGATAAAAAATAAAAAAATTAACCGTGTTCATCAAATTGATTGAAAAGATTGAAAAAAAAACAAATTGATGAGAGAGATTAAGAAAATATGAAAAACTACAAGGTATAAGAGGGAATAATATAATAAATTAATTGATATAAAAGATTAAAAAAAATAAAAAAATAGGTAGAAGAAAAATAAAAATTGGTAAAATATAAAAAAATGACCTTATATGTAATAGAAAAAGAAAATAAAATACTTTTAAAATATTAATATTTTAAAATTTAAATTTAAATATAAAGTCGGGGCGGGACGGAGTCGGGGTGGGGATTGCATTACCCATCCTCGCCCCGCCCCGACTTTTCAAAGCGGGAAAACCCGAACCCGCCCCTCCCGGGTCAACTCGGGTTTTCCCAGTCAAACTCGGGCGGGGACGAGTTTAATTGTCATCCCTAGCCCAGGATAATGCTTCAATCATTTTTTGTTTTAATTGGCCTTTTTCGGCTTTTGAGGAAGGGAGGTTCGATAAGTCTATAATGGTTTTTCCTTTTTCTTTTATAGATGATATTTCTCTTTGGATTGGGTTTTTTTATGTGATAAGGCCCATTTTCTTCCAATTTTCAAATTTTTCTTCTACATATTGGGTTTCAAATTTTTTTCACCAGAAAACTTTGGTTTTTAAGCAGAGTTTTAGGATAGGTTTCTTCTTTGTGTTGATGGATTTCAGGAATGTGGGTCAAAAGCCAGCTTATTCCCATGGTTGAACAAAATTTATAATTCGAAGGTGTGGAGGGTATTGAGGAGTAAGCCTTTTATATTTTTGGTACATTTTCATGATTTTTCTTGGGATTATAGATTGGACCGGACATATTTGATGAAACCAATCAACAAACCAATTTGGTAAGGTATTGGGTACTTCTTTTTTAAAAGATATATACCATGAATGTCTGGAGTTGGTATCAAATAGTATCTTATTCCAAGCTTCTTGGTAATCGAAATAATTATATGAAAGGGGATCAAAGGGCCTCGAAAAACTTTTATCTGTGAAAGGGTGTTAGTTCCATTCTTGTTATGAAATGATTTTGATAATTCGTAATTTTGAATAACTAATTATCGAGGGATCTCTATCATTAGTAATGTAGGTTATTTCTGCATATCATGTATTTATCAGGATAAATTGATAAAATTTTTTGGTCTTTTTCAAATTTTCTGACTTAGGGATCCAACTCCATCCGGGAGGAGCTAGTTTTCTGAGTATTCCGTAAACATCTTCGGGATTCCAATCTTCTTCTAAAGTAATAATCTTCTGGCATCCTTCTTTTATATGAAATTCCTTTTTAGGGGTTTTTTCAGGGGGAGAATGTTGAGGAATTTGTGGTGTTAGGGGGTAGGAAGTTTTCGAGTGGTCATGGTTTTCGAATATGATGGGGCAAAGTCATCTAAGGACAATGTAGAGGACTTTTGACTTTTTTCTGTTTTATTCTTTTCAGTTGCACCTGGTGGTTTAGAGGGGTTGTCATGGGTGTGGTCCTGCAAAAATTCTCTAGTTAAAAAATCCGGTATCGAATTCTCTTTTCCTTTTATAAATTCTATTTCAAATTCAAAACAAGATAATAGACTTTGTCATCTTGTAAATATTTATATATATAAATATATATATATATATATATATATATATATATATATATATATATATATATATATATATATATATATATATATATATATATATACACACACACACAAGTATCACAAACAATAATCCATTAAAATAAACGTAAATCTACCTAATTTGTAAATCATGTCATGTAACCAATTATATAAATAATTTTATAAATCATCATATGTAACATACTTAAACTTGAATTATCATATATAACTATTTTTATTACATTAACTAAATAACCATTTATAACAAACAATCACAACATGTAATATATTCAAAAAATTATAAATAAAAAAATACTAAACTAAAATATTAAAAATTAATTAAAATTACTAACATTTGTCGTGTGAGGAGCACATTGGAGGAAGGAGTAATACGAAGGAGTTAGAGCGAGTGAAGTACACGATGGTGGTGGAGAGGAGGCTAGTTAACAATGGTGGTTCCCATGGCAACGAAGGTACTAGTATTAGTTTGCGGTTAACAACTTTTCGTATGGTGGCATTGAAGGTTCACGACGTTGGGAGTTCACATGTTAACGGTGGTAGTTAGCAGGGTGTGGCAGTAGCAGCTTGGTGTGGTAGTAGTGGTGTGGCGGTGGTGTGAGCACGAAGACAAAGAGAGAATGATAGAAGGGGAGCTGGTTTTGGCAACGGCGACAAGTGGATAGAGATTGAAAGGAGAGGCAATGGTGACAATGGCGACCAAGAGAGAATGAAATGAGAGGTAATGGGTGACAATGGTTGCGAAAAACATACGAGAAGGAGAGAAAATGAAAGAGTGTGCAACATTAAGTAAAATGGAATAAAGGGAAGCTGATGGGTTTAAACAGACTTTCTCCATTGCTTCACGTGGAAACCGACGTAGAATGTAGGATATAACATTGATTCCCACGTGAATCGATACAGAGAGTTCTCTAAATTACACATTTGCCGCTGCATCATTTATTACATTAGTTTCTTTACAACCGATGCGTTATCCTATCATAATTTGTGTTTCACACTATTGAGTCAAGCATATCATAGAATATCCTTATTTAAATAAAGGATACTTGACCCAAGACGCACCTAACAACCAATAATTCTCCCTAACTAGGAGGATCATACTAGCTAATTGTGAAAAATAAGAGATTGTAGAAATGGGAGAATTAGAATTAAAAGAGTATTCACTCACTACTTCCCCTTCCTTCCTTTAATATCATGTTTCTTTTGATAGGACCCACAAAAGCTATGTGTTCATGCCTCAAGCATTTAAAATATTTTATTAAACTAGATTTTGAAGGAAGTTTGGAAGTAAAGGAATTAGACTTAGAAGGTTGAGAAAAAGAAGGAAAGTAAGATGAGAGGCTTTACCAAGGTCATCAAATTTTTCCTTTGTCTCTCCAAGATACTTGGTGTGAGGGGTTATATTGAAGGTCACTCGACTCACCCCTCCTCTGAAATTGCTTCTCTACCTTAGGGAGCTTGATGCACAAGATGTTCTAAGGAGTGGTACTCTTGCATTTCTACCACATTTTGAATGTCCCTATGGGTACCATTCATAAACCTTATCATGGTGGTTGCCATAGTCTCTTTAATATATGCCTTTGTCATGATAACCTCCCAATCCTTGTAATATTTTTCAACACTCCTAGGACCTTGGATGAGCTTTTGAAGCTTGATGTACGATTCCTTCCGATAATAAGAAGGTTGAAGTTCTTGAAGGTCAAGCCAAGTAATTATAGCAAGCCTCCTACCATTATGTACTTCCTTCTTTACCTAAACATTCATAGTGAAAACCATAAGCACTCGAAGAAAGAAACTTATAACTAGAAATTTTTAACATGGGGAGTGAAGAAAATGCTCTATAGTCGTGGATGGGGAAGAATATCGAAGGGTAGAGAATGACGTGAAAATTGACAAAAATCTAGGGTTAAAGGGCTAAAATATAAAGAAAGACATTTTTTGTCTTTCTACATATGTTATAAGGGTGTAGGAAGAAAAATATAGGGATATATGATACGCAATAAAACATAGAGGGGTGACAAGTTGATAAACACCAAAGCAACAAAAGCCAACATCTATTCGACTATGATGCTTCACTCAACTTGTTTGGTTAATCCCTTTGTAAATCTTTCTTTACGATCATGAATAACCAAACCAATACCAATTGATAGAAGTCTTATCCATGTTTCTTTCTACTGAAAAGTAAACAGGTTATTTCTACACTCATTGCAATTTCTATAACTAACCCTCCCAAAACACAGAAAAACATTTAAAAAAAAAAAAAAAAACGCACAAATGGGAATTGTTTATATTTCCATTTTATGCATTATTTTCTAATCAACGTTATATTATTCTTTTCCAGTACCAAAAAGAATAATAGTTTTAACTGTGTACCGTAATGACTCTTGGATATCCATTCCTCAATATTTGAATAACATGCATTAAATTTTAGAACTTTGGTTAGTTTCGGTAAGCTGCTGACGCAAAACCCTTCTCATGACCTTGTTGGATGCCGTCCTTGGAAGAGATGACAGTGGTACTACTTGAGAAACCTACACAAATGAGCATGTGTTAGAGCGCTAAACTGCTATGATAATGAAAGAACTTGTTCAATTTTAAAAAGATAAAACATACAGTAGCATAGATGACATGGACATTGATCTCCAATTATATATATTAAGACATTCATCTCGGTAATATGTAATTACATGTAATCGAAATCTATATCATGCATACTGAAATAAAATTCTAATTCCAATGGAAAAACAACACCAAGTACCATAGGTGCTGTGCATCTATGTTTTGTATTAATAAAATTTTATGGATCTCACCTCATGTTTAATACAACTCTTCCCTAATTATATTTTTTTTTTTAATTTTAATCAATAAAAAAATGTATTAAAAAGAGCTTATTTCTAGTAAAAGTTCAATAGGAAAATAATCAGTACCCGAAACAGAGGATTTAGTTTCTTTTGGAGAGCTGAATTAAAAGACATCCTCAATTGCTGTAAATCTTGCTTTGTGACACTTGAATCCTTGAATACAACTGCTATAGTCAACAACTCAGGTCCACCACCAGATGGTGGGACCCCTATTGCAGCTGTTTCCAGAATACTACTATCTACTCCGTTGCATATGCGTTCAATCTCAACCGAACTCACCTGTCCAAACAAACAGCATGAAATGTCAGAACATATTAATTAAGTAGAATTCTTCAGAGGAACTACATCCAGAAAAACAGTAGTCTCTCTCACACAGACAGAGAAATCAGTTTATTAAGAAAACATCAACTATCCACATTCTCTGTTTCAATGATTAAACTCCACATTACCCGACTCATGTCTCATTCTGTAATTGAGACGTATGAAATACCGGTATTCGATGATATTATAGGATACTTATCGACGAAGTATTCAAACAAATGAAGTACCAATATTTGTATATTTGTTTAATGCATCTAATATCCATACTTTTGGATACTTCAATGATACATGTTGGTGAAGTTTCCAAGCTTTCAAAAGATTCATATCCAATAAAATTATAAAAAAACATACAAGTATGTTTAATATAGAAACATATAAGTATTGCTTTCTCGTAAGCCAAGGAAGAAAATAGTTCTCTATGAATTATTTTAAAAAATTAATCAGATTTCTTATATGTAAATAATGAAAAGTAATTTATAATAACAATAATTTATAATTTTTTTTTATTTCAATCTAATCTAAGAAATATGATTAATTTGGATTTGCATAATTGCAATTATATTTTTTATTATTTCTTATGTTTTATCAATCCTTATACATTTTGAAATATCTTACACATCATATTCTTTATGCCTTAGTGCATCGCAGGGGTTGATGAGTCCCTAGATGTCCCGGAAACCAGATAGTTCATCCCTTAGATGATCAATAGGAGCATGACTAAAAGAGAGACTCTTCTTCACCATCCACTTTGAATTTTCAGCATTTTTTTTCTTAAATTTTAGAGACTCATTTTCGCATTTTTTTTGTAGGACCACTTTATGCATCTCCTTTTTGAAGACCACCACCTCTTTTTGGTGGAGAAGAAGACTTGGACATATAGGAAGGTTGCATGGGCTACCCAAATGTGTAGGACACTCCTTTTTCATGTCCTACACCCCTTTTTGGAGAGGAAGAAGTTTGGGTTGCAGGATTGGTAGGCTTGGGACAACCCAAAAGAAAACACACCTCTTTTTTTATGATCTCCACATCTTTAGAGGTATTTTTGGTGGGCTAGGACAAATTTAACTTATTTAGACCATGGGGACTCTAGCCTTTAGGTTTAGGTTAAGTTTATGTCTCCTTTTGTAATTCCATCTAGGTCCTTTCCCCTCATGTAACGAGGTTGAACATTTATGAAAAGTTTGTGAGGTTTCTTAGAGTATTCCATCTCTTTGAGTGTCTTATCTTGAACCTTGATTCAAGTGGCGGTAACCACCACTTATCTAGGGTGGCTCATCCCCTAGTGATGTGCCAACACTCCACCACCATCATACTTCTCTTCTCTTCATCTTTTCTTCTTTATTTCTTCACTTCATTGATTTATCCAAGGGGCTAGTCCATTTTTCCAGCCCTTGTCTTTATTCTTTTATAGTTTCATTCCATCTCTTCCTCCTTCCATAATTCTTGGAAATACACCTTCACATCTAGATAGACAACTATCTTAATGTCCAGTGGGAATTTTCCTTAGGTTTGCTTACTTTATTGCTTAAAATTTTGCAACTTATCTTCTTAAAATTCTACACCTTTATTTTACATCAGGGGTAGATACTAACATTTCATTTTCATGCATTCTGCCCTGGTTATTTTCATAATAGTTAAGATTCATGTGCCAATTTAGTGACCATGATTCTCTCCTGACAATTTTCTACATGCGGTATATTATTACACTCTACGAAGATCCTCTGCACTTGAATTTCGAATCTAAAATATTCAAAATCTACCAGCCTTTGCATTTATTTATTTTTTGTAATGGAAACCAAAATAAATAAAAAAATGTGTAAAATGAGAATGACACACGTTGGATAAGAAATGTACTAAATGAAGTTAATACCTGAACTCGATAGGAACCATTGCATACTTGTATAAATCAAAGTTAGTCACAGTATGCTTTGCTTCCTAAAACAGTTTTTTTTATTTATTTGACATATCATATGTTCATATTCATTTAACAATCCAAATAATCTACTAATTATTTTATAGCCAGAAAATTTACCTTGATTCCCCCAAGGTTCATTGTGTCGTCCGCACGACCATGTGCATGATAGTATTTTCTAGCAGTACGCTCAAATACATCCCCATGCCTCCGTAAAACCTGATTAGATAAACTCAACTGTATAATTTCAGGTACCCCAGATACCTAATTAGCACATAATAAATGCTATGCCCACCTTTCCATTCAATACAGGCATTCCTTTGAAATAGACACCATGATGGTCAGCATTCAGCAGTGTATTTGATGCCCCAAACATGAGGGAACCCAGAGCCAGCTCGCCTATTCCTGGAACATTTTCTGGCTGTAACACAAAAGAAGATTGAACATTAGTAAAGTACTTAATCTGAGTATTATTAATAGATTGCTCAGGAAAAATGAAGAGCCATAGATCATTTTAAATTTTATCAGTTTGGAAAAACTCAGCGTAATATCTTCTGGAACTAAAAGAATAAAATATAGAACGGTCTTAGTAATTGTAAACACAACACATTGTTGTCATAAAAAAAGCTTACGATGACTAAGAATATCAAACATTTCTGATAGTCACAAGTCACTAGCATATTAAACACTGATAATTGTGACAAGTAATAGTTTAATTCAAAGGTTGAATTCATAGCACTTACAATAGGATGGCCACTATCATCAAGGATATACAAACTGCAACACATAGCAGGTGTACTAAAAGCAGACAATGCCTGAGCCTGTAGTACTGATCCACACACAAATCCACCCCCAATTTCCGTTCCACCACAATATTCAATAATAGGCTTGTAGAGAGCTCTCCCCATCAGCCAAAGGTATTCATCTACATTAGATGCTTCACCAGAGGAGCCAAAGCAACTAAATCATTCAAAAGAGTAGGTCCAATCAAACATTGTATAATCATAAATGAAATTCAAATTCATGCACTACGCCTTCTTAGGGAATAGTTCAATTCAACTAAAATTTCTTACCGGATAGAAGACCAATCATATCCAGATGTGGAATTTGCACTTTTCCAACTCCGTACAATACTTGGAATAACACCAAGCATTGTTACTTTAGCATCCTAAAAAGGACGAAAGTAAAGAATAAAGAAAAGAATATACAAAAAAATCGTAAGGATTGACCAAAATAGAGCACAACTATTGTGATGTGTGTTTGCTGGTTAAACAGTAGATCTAGGGCAGGGGATACTTGACTGAACGTATTTTCTGGCATTCCAAATATTCATTACCCTATCTCAATCTTGAGGTTTGAAAAAAATAAACGTAACTCTAAGAAATATAATCAGCCCAATGGCAAAGATTGTGTACATATAATATACATGATATAATGCATAGATGTCATGGCGATAACTATCATACAAACACCCAAGGAGGCAGTTGAATAACTGCTCCTGTTAGAACTTACAAACCCCACTCCCCCCAAAACTCAAGGTGGTTGAGTTTTGATACCACACTTGAACACTGAGTTTATCTCTGAAAAATAGGAATCTCGCTGGAGAGAGAGGTTTGGTCAATCCACTGATTTGATGCAGGGATGTGCTGACTCAGTAAGTTACTTAGTATCAGTGACGAATCTTGACCAATAATTTTGAAGGAGGAAAAATAACATATAATACACAAATGAATGAGATAATAGAAAAGGTGAAAGAATAAAAAAAGGTGGGAAAATATAAAACTTTTTTGGAGGTTAAAATTATAAATATACAACTAGTTAAAAAAAAAATTGGGGGACCATGGACCCTTTAAAGGACCAAAAAGATGCACCCTTGCTTAGTAAGAGAGAAGTTGTAAGTATTGTATACAGGAGCAGTTAGCAACTGTCTCCTTGGGTGTTAGCTGCTGAGTAGGTTGAGTGGATTTGTAATTAATACAATCTTAAACTTTACAAACGCTATATATTTAGAAACAATTTTTCTCCACAAAACATCAATTATTTAGAAACAAAGAGGAAGTACATTAACAACAAAAGGTAAAACCTATTTAGATTTTATAGATCAAGAGGCTCAAGATGCAGGATGCAGAACACAGTCCATCCATTTGCTTGTGTAAGAACAAAAATAAATAAAATGTTTGACTTTCCCCAAATGCACATATCTACTTGTGGATTTTATACTTTAAATGATAAATTAACGAGTAAAAAGATCCTGGTAGAAAAAATTGCTAAAAATTATAGTTTCTATTTACATTTCAGTGAAGAGAGATAAAAAATTGGACATGCATTTCTAGTTTATGACTTGATTACTTGAGTTCATGGAAATATAAAAGTAAAACAGAAATAATAACAAAATATAATCTTCCTAACAAATGCTTGTTTTTTCTTCAGATATAGTAAATTCTAAGAATATGTACCAGTCAATGGATGAATAACAAGCATTCACACTGGCAGGAAACAAAAGCTATGGAAAGGATTGAAAAATTTTGAACATAAGAATAAATTTGTAAATTATACCTGTACAAACTTGGCAAAGCCAGACCCAAGAGGGGATCCAATATATAAAGCCATTGAAGCTCCATTTAGCAAGGATGCATACACTAGCCATGGCCCCATCATCCATCCAAGATTAGTGGGCCAGCACACCACATCCCCTTTACGAACGTCCATGTGGCACCATGCATCTGCAGCAGCTTTTAGAGGAGTAATATTGGTCCATGGAATTGCCTTTGGATCACCTATACCGCCAAATGATATGATATTAAATTAGCTCTTGCCAAGCTTCAGATGGTGAAAGAGTCTAGGTACTGAATTAGTTATTTTACTTCATATCCTTTATCAACAATATAAAGCTGTTTTTGTCTAGTATGAATCTTTTTAGGCCAAAACACAATTCAACTTACCCGTCGTTCCAGATGAAAAGAGAATGTTTGTAATTGTTTCTACTGGTTGATCTGTAGCTATGAATTCCTTGCCTCTGTAGGTTGCATGACAAGCAATGAGAACTAGAACGCCAAGAGAACATCATAAACAATTGAAACTTTTCATCCTGTAAGACTTTTGAATTTGCTCTGAAAATCAGTGAACATTATAATATGGTAGGTAGCAAAGGCATATGTACTACCAATAGTTTATTGTTTCTAATAATTATTTCATAAATAGAATATCTATGAATAAATGAAGCTTTAAGTGCATACTTGAGATTATAGACTTTCTCCAAAAAAACATCCCAAGAAAGGTCACTGTTGCGCAGTTTCATGCTAAATTCAGATCCTTTGGTAGGGATAACTACTGCCATAGGTGACTGTGCATCTACAACTCTACTGCATTTGTGAAGCAACAATATGAGACACCTATTTTCTGAGCAACAAAGTAAACAACTCAAATACAGTCTCTAACAAATAGTGAAAGGATTTTCACCTGTAAAGGGGAATACTTTTGTCGCCACGAATAATGAGATCCTGAAAAATTAAATGAGGAAGAAAAAGGGGTGAACAAGACAGGAAAAATCCAAATAATTATAACACCACAATTCGCCACAAATTTGACACTCATTTTAACTAGAATAATAGCAAACCTATTAAGAAATAATAACCAACCCTAAACCTACTGAAAAATAAACTGGTTCTTTTAAAACGTTCAAATTATACGCTTTTATGTAGGGAAGGAGGAAAAGATAGAACAGAAACTGGATAATTTAAATATATTACTTAGATGTAACTCCTATTTATGAAAGGTGTTTGTCATGTTGTCCTTTAGACTAAAGAATCATACTAGTATACACTTCTCCCACCGATTCATTCCAGTGACAAGTTCTTTCTCTCATGAATCATACCAGTGGTGACTTATGTTGGACATGAATCACACCATCCTGAAGTAGACAAGCCCCTTACTTCGCTATAGATAAATTCTAACCCTAGCCTCCATCACAAATGTTGCCCAGTCCTATCTCCTGTCCCATATCGAATTTAGCCCCATCTCTAAGAACAATGGCCTCATTTCCTGTCCTGGATGCTGCACTACTTTATATTTGGAATTCATTTTCTTTTAGAATGCTTAGTTTTATAATACTGCTATATGACCAACATACTTTATGGTAATGAATGTTAGTTTTCAAACAGACAACACTAGAATAAGAAAATAGGAGTAGAAGAAATGAGAATATTAAGATGAATGCGTAGCCACACAAAAAGGGACAAGATACAATATGATTGTTTATGAGGAAATACTGGAGTGAAACCTATTGAGGAGAAGATGATAGAAAATTTGTTGAAATGGTTTTGAAATGTTGAAAGAAGGCCAATTAAGAGAGCATTGAGAACAGTAGATCACATGGTTTTCAATCATTTTAAAAAGGGAGAAAGAGACCAAGGAGATTGGAGAAAATTATAAAAAAGAGATCTTATTGTGAATAAAATCCTAAAGAATTTAGTTTGAGTCAGCGTCATGTAATCCCATTTATTCACCTAACCTAATATGATAAGGCTATTATAGTTTTTTTTTTTATTTCTTTCAATATGTTCAGTTACAAACTTAAAGCATAATAAGCTTTAACTTGAGTAGAAGTGTTAGAATACTGTTGTTGTATGTTAGAATCATCCATGATTTTTAAGGAAGAAAAGGAGACCAAGAAACACATTGGGTATGTTACGGGATCTCATGATCAATAATAGTTATAAAAATTTGGTCTTTTAACTGAATCAAATAGTATAGTGATCCATAGCCGACCTCACCAAGTTAAACAAGGATTTGTTATTATTGTTGCTGTTGACAGGTTTCATCATAATTCATGATTTGTTCCTTAATCAGGATTAGAAAAAATAGGGCTACTACCATGCATTTTGTATCACATCATATGAATATCAATTTTAAATTATTCAATCTCTATTCTCTATTTTACTCCTTCCCTTCTTAAAATCACTGTAGTTTCAACATTAATAAATAAGTTTAGTTTTTTCTAGTGAGAAATACAGAAAAATCATTATAAAACTGAAAAATACATTATCAAAAGAATCATCAGAGGAAATTAGAGTCAACCTGTGTAAATATGACTTTTGCTTTTGATATTTTAAGCCTGTTTGATATTTCACTAGCAGCAAAACTATCAGCAATCGATACAACAACATAACCCGCAAGAACAATAGCTAGATAGATAATCACAGACTTGACATTCATTGGCATATCAATCGCAATTGCAGATCCTTTCTCCAGATCCAGAGATTTCAGAGCATATGCAACTATCCTACAAGTTAAAAGAAACAACAGGGTATAATTTTATTTTATTAACATTCGGATCTGAAGAAGCTAAGTGTAGAATAATCATACGATATATTGCTTTAGATTCAAAGCTTAACCCAACAGTATACCATTAATTGATGAACTGCTGCATACAGCTACCATCTATATTTTCTATCACAATATGATACAACAAATGCCAAATCTTAAAACATAAAATTTCAAGAAAGTCATGATCTGGACAGTCTCTCTAGTCTCGGAAAAGTAACTAGCTCGCTGTTGGGCCAAACCAGTTCCCTAGCCCAAGATAATAAATGTCAGGGACAAATCCCTGCAGGCACTAAACCCAAAAAAGGTCAGAATTGCAATATGCCAGGATCCTGAACCCCGTGTCCCTGCTAGGTTTTGACCTCAATCATGAGTCAGGATGCCTCTGAAATTGAGTATTGACAAGGAATCCTCTTAATTTTTTTGCTATTTAAAGTCAAAATATACAACAAATATCTGTTTTGAAAAAGTTTTGCTAAGCATTGCCCTTAAATAATGATTAAGAGATCAACATATAGAAAGTTAGTTAAAAAAATCATGGCAGAAATGCAGTAACAAATGATATTACTTTTATCAATGATAACTCTTCAGTTTCAATTTCTTAACCATCATGATCTTTAAAACAATAATCAACAAAACCGAATTTTGACATGTTATGAAACACCATGGATATGCAATTCACACGACATCAAGTGAAAAAACAATAAAAGCTACAAATAAGGAAATGACAGGCAATTTGTAGCATACCAAACTTCTTCACGCAGTTCCTGGAGTGTCATCCTTTGTATAGGGAGATCATCATGTTGTTCTTCGCGCCATATTATTACTGTATCATTCAAACCTCTTTTTCCATTTACATTTATGCAATTCTGTGCTGGATTAATAGATGCTCCAGGAAGCCATTGACCACTTGGATGTGATAATGGGCCTTCCCCTGGGGGGCTATCGCGTAAGATGCATTCAGGTGGTTTGGAAAATGATATGTTCATTTCATCCAACACAGATCTCCAATATATCTGAAACAATATGCAACAACAATGACAAAACCTTCCAAGTACAAGGAAATCCAATAAATAGAAAAATAAATGCTACCAATGCACCATGTACAAACTCTTTTCAACACCCTTTTATGTTGACTGGACCACAAAGGAAGTAATCGGGACCCAGATCACACAGTGGGAGTGACAGTTTTAAAAGTCTGCAACTTTCAGGAATATTATGATTCTAGAGTTCTGTACAACACTAACTGCAATCTAAAACCTTGAGGGAGACAAGTATAAATTTCACCATTAAAGAAGAAGGCATTGAAAAGAGTGTGTATTAGCAAATGTTAATAACTTCCCAGATTAATTTAAAACTGATTACACCTCAGGGTTTGAGACTGAAAAGTTGTGGAAATCATCAAAGCTTGTAATGGGATCTTTATATGCCGAACCCAGAAACTCTTCACCCCTCCTCTCTAGCAACTGCCAAACATTTGTCAAAGCAGCACTTTCCCTGATCACACATGAAACAAGGTTAAAAAAAAAGTCACCAACCTTTCATTTTCACTAATTAATACACATATTTCAATCATTCACTGCATGAATTAAAACAACTTCCGCATAATCGAAAAAATAACACATATCTTAAATGACATACGGGTCGGGTATCCAAGCGGGTGGGTCGGGACCGAAATTCTTGTAGCAACCATAGTAGAGCATCTGATGGAAGGAGAAGGGAAGTTCAGGGGTAAGGATGCTGCTGCTGATGTGCTGCCACGTGGCGGGGGTGCCATCTCCGTGAGTTTTAATGATTTCTGCGAGACGTTGGTGGAGAGTCGTAGCATCTTCTCCTGCAATTCCGTTAGATTCAATATCCATCACAGTGATGGAACATAACGATTTGTAAGCCATTCCACAAGGTTGCACAATTGCACCACCCACTTCACTCTAGTCTCTACTTCTTTTAGCTCTCGAAACCCAAAAGCTTCAAATCCGTTTCAGTGACAGGTTAACGATACAAAGATAAGCTTTTGATCGAGGTTGCTTCTATACTTAGAAAACTATAAACGGTTGAGAATTTATTCACGATTTATAGGGTAGTAGTTAAAATCTTTGTAAATTTTTGTTCTTACCTTGATAATAAGATTAGATACTAGATTTTGAATTGAAAGGAAAAGGAATGTGATGTGTAAGAGTAAATTATAGGATACTTATCCGCACCTGCTTGGACTGCGACGGCCTAGCAATATGTCACAATTCTGTCAATTAACAATGTTCGTGTATGTTCTATGTCGAGATATGGGTGGTGCGATGCCGAATAAATATAAAAATTTAGAGGAACATTTTGTTTGGTTCACCTTCCACAGTCACGTGATTATGCAGTGTCATTGATACAATAAAAGAACAGAGAAAGAAATATTTTCTAATTTGGAGCTTATTGTAACCAAGGGTAAAGCGGATTATTTTTTTATAATCAATAATTTAAATTATAATTGTTATCGTGAAAAAATAATAACAATTATTACAATCAAGAGAAAATAAGATCGAAAAATGTAATTAGTGAATGTTTTGTTTTGTTGGCGAAATTGGATCATGATATATGTAGTCGGATTGTGCTACCTAAGAATCAACGTGAACAAGTAGAGAAATCTTAGAATCAACGTGATTGAGCCATAGGATCTTGGTGTAACAAAAAGGTAGAGAATCTACCAAAACACTCCAATGCTTATCCGTTTTTTTAGTAAGGTATTTAGTTATCACAATTATCAATTTAATTAAAGATAACATCAATTTGAAAATACATAATAAAATTTCATAATCAATTATGATAAATATATAATGATCAATTAATAAATTTGATTGAGACAATAATAACTTTAATTATATTTTTATAGAATGCTCATTTTAAATTTGGAGATAATGGATACACTCATAAGTCCCTCTTAATGAATTCCTAAACTGTGGCAGTGGATACTGTGATAGTGAAAAATTATAATGAAGCTTTGATGAATTTTAACATCATTTTAATGAGAGATTTTTATGGTGTTAAATATGTTGTTAAGGGTTTTTCTCCTTGAAAAATTGTGCAAAATTTTAACATATTCACTTATAATTGTTTATTTTCATTTGTCCTTTCTTGAATTCTTTGAATCGTTCTCATTTCTTTTTGAATTTTTCTGTTCAATCGTTGATAGGTGAATATGAAGTTTATCTTTTTTGTCATGAATATGTCGTAGAAAGGAGTTTCACGAACTCTAATTCAAGGGTTAGGGCACTTGCGCCACTTCCAAGATCTGACATGCTCATTCGGATCAGTATACCCCCATCAAAATTTTCAAAGGAAGGTGTTTTGCATACCAATGATAGTGATTCCTTCAAAATTTCAAGAATAAAATGACTTTCAAGCTTTGGAGTTAGTTGTCCTCTTATTTTTAAGGTGTTCAGGTTATGTTTCTCTTCCTGGTCCCCCTCGACTAGCCCTATTACCTGATTCCTCTTACCTCGAAGGAGATCTTACCATTAACCACACAATTTTTTCTGTAACATCTCAACTTAATGTAAAAGATAAACATTATCTTATCTTAAAAGATAAATCTTATCAAAATCATAATTACTGCATTTATGATTATGTAATTAAATAAATAAAAAGAAAAAAAAATTGTTATAAAAAGGGACAGGAGGAAGACCCATAGGAAGTAGGAGAGAGAAATAGAAAGATAAAGAAGGAGAGAGAAATAGAAGAAGGAGAGAGAAAGAAGGAGAGAGAAATAGAAAGAGAAAGATAAAACCGTCTCTGCAAAATTTTGGTACCTCATCCGCAGTTCTTAAGGTAAGGGATAAGAATATTATCATTAAATCTATTTTATTTTGCTTATAGTTGTGGAGTGAGGTGTCCCTAACCTCATTCTATTTATTCAATTACTTGTTTATTTATCTCTAACTATGTAATCGTCCTGCCTTATGTTTGTTTATTTTATTTTATTTCCAGTCTTGCACTGGTCATATTTTAATTATCTCCAGTTATGTACTGGTCCTGTTTGTTTATTTTATTTTATCTTCAGTCTTACACTGGTCTTATTTTAATTATCTCCAGTTATGTACTGGTCCTGTTTGTTTACTTTATTTTATCTCTAGTAATGCAGCGATCATATTTATTAATTTATAGTTATATTATTCAATTATAATAATATCTATTTGTCAAGATTTGATGATATTGTAGATAGAGGTTGGACCTTGGGGATTTAAATGAGTAAATATCATTGTGAGAGTGATTAAAATTGGGCTAATTTATCCTGACTAGTCACTACAAATTTAATTTAAATCTTCATAAAATAGAATGTGTTGAGGAAGTTGAAACATATATATCTATATATTATAAGATTGTATTATTGTAAATGATAAATGTTCTCACTCTCTATTGGGATCTTTTGTGCATGTTTTATTTAAACACCAACTTAAGTAGATGGAGACGTCAAATATTCCAAATCTCTTCTCTGCAAGCATCATTGTCTTCTTTTAAGAACTACTTAGAACACAAACGTTATAGACAACTCGGTTACTTTTAGAGGGACATGATTATTAATAATAACATTTGTATCTTATATGGGAAATCTCATTATGTTAGATGGACAATAGTGGTTACCTTTTGTATGCCTCCTACCTTTTTCCAAAACCCCTTAATCAATTTGTTTTCACCAACAATGTAGATATTTGTAAAATTGTAAAAAGAAAAATAAAAGGAATCAAAAATAAAATTCATTCTTCTTTTGTATATATATATATATATATATATATATATATATATATATAGTTATGTAAATTTACTTTTATATATATATATATATATATATATATATGTAATATTTTTGTTGACATGTTACTCTTATACAAATAATAATAATAATAATAATAATAATAAGAAGAAAAAAAATAATGTCACATTAAATGGTATCGAGCAAGCGTTTCATGTGTGACCTATGAAATGAGTATATCCTGATATCTTATGAATCCTAACTTATATAATTTTAGATGGCAAATAATAGAAGGAACAACGAGTTGACAGAAGCGGTACAAGCTATCCGAGACATGGCCGCTGCATTATTAAGGAACAAAAGACCTAAATGAACCAACGGATCACATGGTTTAGTTGAATTTAGGAGAAACAAACCTCCGCAATTTTCTGGAGGTTATAACCCAGAAAAGGCTGAATTATGGATTAAAGAATTGGAAAAAATATTTCAAGTTATGAATTGTCCTGATGACCAAAAGGTGAATTATGTTGTGTTTATGTTGATAGGAGAGGCTGAATATTGGTGAGATAGTACCAGGAGATTACTAGAAGAAGGAAGAATAATCATTACTTGGGAAGTGTTTAGAAAAAAAAAATTAGAAAAATATTTTCCCAATGATGTGAGAAGAGCGAAAGAAATAGAGTTTATGCAATTAAAGCAAGGAAGTATAACAGTAGGAGAATATGCCTCTAAGTTTGAAGAGCTAGGAAAATACTCTACATTCTTTTATCACCCTGATGAAAGAATGAAGTGTATAAAATTTGAGAATGGACTTAGGCCCGAATTGAGAAAGACGATAGGAATACTAGAAATTTCTGATTTTCCTACGCTTATTCATAAATGTAGATTGTTGGAAGATTTTGAAAACCATCAAAATAGTAAACCAAAATCTTTTGGACCCCAACATAATAAAAGGAGACAAAATAAAGAAGCAAGTGACACAATATGTAACATCATGCTTAGTTTGTCAAAAAGCTAAGATTGAACATCAAAGGCCTGTAGGAATGTTACAATCTTTAGACATACCTGAGTGGAAATGGGATAGTATTGCAATGGACTTTATAGTTGGTTTACCACGAACAATTCAAAAATTTGATTCCATATGGGTTATCGTGGATAGGTTGACAAAGTCTGCTCATTTTCTACCCATTAACATTAGGTATTCGTTGGACAAACTGACTGAATTGTACATAAAAAAAATTGTGAGGTTACATGGAGTTCCATCTAGTATTATTTCTGACTGGGATCCTAGGTTTACTTCTAAATTTTGGGGAAGCCTACATCAAGCCTTAGGAACTAAGCTTCATCTTAGCTCAACTTATCATCTTCAAACTGATGGACAATCAAAAAGAACCATTCAGTCCTTGAAAGATTTGTTGAGAGCATATGTGTTAGAAGATTCTGTTAGCTGGGACCGATACTTTTCATTAATTGAATTTACTTATAACAACAGTTTCCATTCTAGAATAGGTATGACACCCTATGAGGCATTGTATGGGAGAAAATGTAGGACACCTTTATGTTGGTTTGAGACTGGAGAAAATTTAATCTTAGGTCCTTACATGATTCAACAAACCACAGAGAAAATTAAGATGATTAGGGAAAAATTAAGAACAACTCAAAGTCGACAGAAAAGTTATACTGACAAGAGAAGATGACCCCTTGAATTCCAAGAAGGTGAGCATGTATTCTTGAAAATAACACCGACAACTGGAGTTGGTAGAGTAATGAAAGCCAAGAAACTTACTCCTCGATTTATTAGTCCCTATCAAATTCTTAGAAAAATAGGTCATGTTGCTTATCAAATTTCCTTACCCCCTTTCATTTCTAATCTTCATAATGTGTTTCATGTGTCTCAATTAAGAAAATATATTTCTGACCCTTCTCATGTAATAATGTCAGATACAGTACACTTAAAGGATAACCTTATATTTGAAACAATACCTGTACAGATTACAGATATGAAGATCAAGCAACTGAGGGGAAGACAAATTCCACTAGTAAAGGTTGTTTGGAATGAAATTACTGGAGATGCTACGTGGGAATTAGAAAAGAGAATAAAAAAAAGTTACCTTCATCTATTTTAGTCGCTAAAAATTTCGAGGACGAAATTTCTCTAAG